GTCCATGTGACGATGTAAATGTTTTAGGTAGTCCTGGTGCAGGTGCTTCTCTTGGAGGGTTTGGTGGTATATAAGTTCCACCAGCTGGCACATATGTTCCATCTGCAGCATAATGTCCTACCTGACTTTTCGTTCTTAAGAAAGCATTTACTAGGTCTGTTTTGGTCTGTTGTAACTCTTTTTCTTGACTTTTCACAACAGTTGCTCTAACGGCGTCATAGGCACTTTGAACTGCCTGTCTCGTTGCTGCATCTGTTATTTTCGTCATATTTTGTGCTACTTCTTTTAACTCTTTGTCGAAACCTTCAGACTTCAGTTTCTTTCCAGATGAGAAGTCGTTCACTTGTTTCACCTTACTATGAAGAGCTTCGAAAGCGTTCTTAAAGTCAGCATTTGTTAAAGCTTCATTTGAACTATCTTCATCCGCTTGTATTTTTGTCCTTATTGACCCTATGAGTTGGGCTGCTTTAGCGTTGGCTTGGGCATCTAACCAGTCATTGTTAGCTTTTATATATTCTGCGCTTTCATTGCCTTTTGCATAGCCGCGTCGTTATTTTTACTTTCTTGTGCTAAGTTTTCATACTGTACGGTTTGGTTTTGCAACTGTAAAAGTTTTTCTGCCTTTACATTTGCTTCAACTTCTTTTTTATACTCATCGCTATCCATATATGTCTTCAGGGCTTTTTTTTATCTCTTCATCTTTCAGTATTTTATATTGAGTAGTATGGTTTTTCAAATTTATGACATCTTGTTCCATTTTTGCTACTTCTGCTGCTTTTTCTGACACTTTTTTCGCATATTCCTCTGTACTTAGTTCTTTCAGTTGTTCTCTTTCTTCTTTTTCTCTACGTTTAACTCATTGAGTTTCTTTGTGTGTCTGTCATATTCTAGTTTCTTTTCGTTTTCACTTATTTGCTTCTGTATGTCTATGTTTGACTTTTTGACATCTGTTATTTGATTTTTGAGTGAACTCAAATTCATTTGACTTTGAGGGTTATAGGCTGTTCCGTCTGCAGCTCCACCATAGCCTGCCATTTTCGCTAAAAGTGCCGCTCTTAAACCTCCACTCTGTGCACCAACAACTCGGTTTAAAAGCATAGGATTGCTTGACATTTGTTGCAACATAGTGGGGTCATTCAGCATTTGTTGTTGCAACTGTTGTTGTGGTGTTAGTCTTACTATTGGATGTTTCAATGCTCTCTTCCTCTTACGTATATTCTTACGTAGCTTACGTGGCATTTTAAGTGAAGTTAAAAAGCGGTTTTTGACAGATGTTTATATGACACTTTTTGTTCAGCACAAAAAACTACTCGGTCAAAGTGTTGTCAGTTTTGTAAAATAACGGTCCTATCTCCGTGCCTATGACGAAGAAATCATGACAAAACATTTACGAAGAAGTCTTGACAAAACATTTACGATGAAATCTTGACAAAACATTTACGATGAAATCTTGACAAAACATTTACGAAGAAGTCTTGACAAAACATTTACGATGAAATCATGACAAAACATTTACGATGAAATCATGACAAAACATTTACGAAGAAGTCTTGACAAAACATTTACGAAGAAGTCTTGACAAAACATTTACGATGAAAGCTTGACAAAACATTTACGAAGAAGTCTTGACAAAACATTTACGAAGAAGTCTTGACAAAACATTTACGAAGAAGTCTTGACAAAACATTTACGAAGAAGTCTTGACAAAACATTTACGAAGAAGTCTTGACAAAACATTTACGAAGAAGTCTTGACAAAACATTTACGAAGAAGTCTTGACAAAACATTTACGAAGAAGTCTTGACAAAACATTTACGATGAAATCATGACAAAACATTTACGAAGAAGTCTTGACAAAACATTTACGAAGAAGTCTTGACAAAACATGAAAACATATATAATTTGTGAAAAGCTCCTGGAAGCCCTCCGAATATAAGAACTTCATTTATGTGGGCTAGAAGGGGCGCAGCCCCTGGAAGACCACCCCAAGAAAAAAAAAAAAAACTTCATTATACTCATTCATCCTCAGGGCTAGAAGGCACGAAGTGCCTGGAAGCCCCACTACCTTTTTTTTTTTTTTTTTTAATACGAACCATCCGATCCCTCCCAAATTATACTTAATACTTTTTTTGTGAAATCTAATGCCATTTCACTCTTAAAATTAAATTTGAAAAAATTCTTATAGTATTGAAATGTGGTGATTTCATCAATAGAATTCCGTAATTCCAAACAACATTCAAAATACGTAATTTTCTTCCTATTTGAAATTTCAATTATTTCATCGATATTTAAAGTTGGAAGAGGCAATTTGAACACTAATTCGTTGCGTATATTACACTAGTCAAAAATACTTGATTTGATCATAGCTTCAATGCGGATATTATTCTCATTTGAATATTTCATTTCTCCACTTTGGCGAGTTATATAATTTATCTTGAATATAAGATTTAATTGCCTTTTGTACATGATTTTTTTTTTGCTTGGCGTAATTTATGAAGAATTTACAGAGTAATTGAATTTGGAACTGAGTAATTTCGTTTGAATTAAGCATATTAAGTAATTTCTCTTGAATGTTTTCAAGATCTTTATAAACTGTTCTAATTTGTCCTTGATAATCTGGTAAAAAATAAATTAATAGTTAGTATGGTTAAGTTGGGTACTGAGGCACTGCGCACCTCCGTACACCAACTTAACCTTAAATATTTACAAAACCGTTAACGTATATTTTTACAACACAAACGACAACACTAACTTAACCTTAAATATTTACAAAACCGCCAACCACTTCACCTCACTAATGTTTTCACAAACGACTTCACTACTGTAAAAATAAACGTTCTCACTATCGTTCTCACTAACAACTTCACTAATGTTCTCATAAATTTTCCTCAATATCTTCATCATCAGTGTTAACCCTATTGTAGTCATACTTGAAGCCATAAACTTTCTCTAACTTCTTAACGTACAATTTACATAACTTACCTTCGTCATCGTATGGTTTAATGATATAACTATTTCTATCTTTATAAACAGTCAATGAAAAGTCAACTGGTCTCGGATGTATTTGAAAGAACATGTTATGCTCAGGAAGGAAGAATAAATGTTTAAATGTATGTTTGTTATACTGTGGAATTCGAATGAGTTGCTTTTGTTCTGTCATTTACATCCAAATAAAAATTTTCAGTAAACTTAAAAATAAACTTAAAAATAAACTTAAAAATTAATGATATCACCACCCTCACACGTATGAAAACATAGCGCAAAAATAAATTTAGGTGAAGTGGTGACATCTCACCTCTTTTTTCACCTCTTTTTTCACCTCATGAATTCATTGCTTTATAACTCTCTTCCTTGGTTTCTTTTTAGTTGCTTTCTTCACGTCTGTCTCCAACTTGACTGTCTTTCTTCTTCGTCCGTAATGATACCAGTTACTTCCACCAGTCAATGGGTCAAATGGTCTTTCGTAAGGGTTTCCATACATTCCATAGGGACCATACGGAAGAACTGCTGGTGGAGGAAGAGTTCCATCGACTCTATTTAAATGCATTGTTTCACCTTTCATCTGGTCATTAAAGTCTTTTGCGTGTTTTGAAAACTCATCGTCCTTTCCTAAAGCATTTTCCGACTCAGTCGCAACCAAATTGGATGCTTTATTTATGAGCCCTATTTTATTTAATCTTAACTTCTTTGCAACCCAGCCTCCAATCTTTCCTTTATTTGCATCTAATGTCTTCGAAACCCTTCCTCCACTCATTTTATTTACTGCGTCATAAGCTCCAAGTGCTTTTGCTCCAAATGCTAATGCTTTTGTTCCCATTGCGCCTAAAGCTGCCCAAGCTACCATTTACACCATATTAAAATCATCTCTCTTCAATATTATCTCATAAAAGTTCTCGTTACTGGAGAAAGTCAATGAAACATAAACATTCTCACGGGCTTCGCCCTCACCGCTTTGCGGTCTATCTAACTTCTTTCTTATCTCATCTATTCGCTTCAAAATGTCTGAACAATTGCTAACATCTTCTACAACAGTTATTTCATCATGAATGACCTTCAAGAACAAGCTCATTTAATATGCAATTAAAATCATCTCAATAATGAGTCCATCCTTTCCATCTTTAGGTAGCACAACATCTTTCATTGAAGAAGGTTCGACAAGTCTTATGTTAAACTTACTGACAAAGTTTGTTATACTATAATGCTTCGGCGGCGAATACATGTAGTTTGAAAGACATAATATAGATTCTTCAGCAAATTCACTTATACTGGATTTTATAACAATGTTCTCACGAGACCAAATACCACCAATTGACAATCTTGTAAGCAATCCTGCTGAACCTTCAACTGTAAACATCGATGGTAACATTCCACGAAGGTCATCTATTGACATCGTTGAGTCACTGAATTTAAATATTTTCTTAAAGCAATCGTCATTATCTAACCATGCAATAGCTTTGAAGTTTTCATTCGAATATACATCTGCTTCATTAAATGTAAAACCTGACTTCTTTGCAGAGACGACTTTAAAATCTATTGAGTTTGTTTCAAAATTATATGCTATGGTAACTTCTGAAGGTAATGGATGCCCTTCCGCAGTAAGTTGTTCTCTCACTACCGTTTGAAGCTTTGTGTTAAAAACTTTCATGTCATCTCCTGTGTCTAGGTTCACATACACAGCAATGGGAAAACTATCTTGCTTCTTTGTTTCATCATTATACCTCAAAACATTAAAGTTCTTCAATAATATTGTCCTTCCTGCTGGAATACTTCGAACCTGTCTGATTTCAATAGCTTTCTCACCTCCTACATACTCTACCCAGTGTCTTGGATATTCATAAGTATACTGACTTTCTTGAATTTTGGTTGGTTTCATCATAACGTGTTCATAGTATATCTTTATACTCTTGTCAGTTAGACTCGGTGCTATGTTCTGAATATTTCTGACTTGCATTTTTAATGGAGATAAAATGAAGCATTTAATACATGACGTAGATGAAGACATGAATGAAACTACAGACAAACTTAACTCTTCTCTCATTCTTCCTTTCAGCAAAGATTATGAATTCTGTTCAAATGGCGTTTATTTCTATTGTGGAAAGATGGGGTCAGGTAAGACATTTAACCTCATTCGTCATATACTCATAACAGAGCGTTTAGGAAATGACTCATATTATGACCAAATCATTATATCAGCAACTTCAGACTCTATGGACTCAACAGCGAAAACATTTATGTCAAAAGTTCAAGCCTCTGTCGTTAAAGTTCCAGACAGTGAACTCATTGAATTTCTTCAACGTTACGTTCGACGTAAGAGGAAATATTATGCCATCGTTGAATTTATACAGTCAGGAATGCAAAAGACTTCAGAAGAGATGGAAAGAATTATTGACAAACACCACTTACGTCAGTACTCAGGAGTTTACGATATGAAACGACTGACAAACTACATTCTATCAAAACTTTCAAAATACCCCTTCAAAAAATATCCTTCAAACACTCTGCTCGTTTGCGACGACTTCGCTGGTAAAGGTTTAGTGTCAAAGCCTGACTCACCATTAGCTAACATCATTACTAAAGTCAGACATTACCACTTAACTGTAGCAATACTTATGCAAACATGGAGGTTTTTAGCTTTAAACATAAAACGTCTCATAACTGACTTCGTTATCTTTCAAGGTTTCTCACGTTATGATATTGAACTCATTTGGAAACAGTCAGGTATAACATTACCTTTTGAAGAAATTTGGGAAGCATATAAGTCTCTCATCTCTCCTCGTTCATACCTTGAGATTCATATCATGACTAATACCATTAAAGTCAAAAATATTCCATGGGAACGACCAACATTGTTTTAAAGTTTAACCTTCAATTGACTGATGGTAAACAAATTCCATGCATCTCTGTCGCCATTTCTGTTAATATTTTTGCTGTCATTCATATCATCCACTTCCCCATCCGTTAGCTTTTGAGGATATGCGTTAGAATAGCTGTTCTTAAATGAAGGCTTTTCACCTTTGAGAGCATAAACTCTATAACTTTCTGCATACTTTATGTTTGAACCTCCTGAGCCATCATTGACATAAATTTTTATAGGCTTCCACCCTTTGTTCATGTTCCTGCTTCTTCCCTTAGCTCTTTTGTTCAGTAGTTCTACATCTTTATACACAGCACCTGTCTCAGTGAATTCAACAATATTTTCATTCGTTAGCTTTACATTCAAACCCTTGTCGAGTATATTGTTCATTTCATACATATAAAAGGTTTTTATTCTATATGAAATGAGAAGCAAATCCATCTTAGCTGGTGCCGTTAATGTTCCAATTGAACCAACATCAAATGTTGACTCACGAACGACAAACAATATTGTCATAAAGAACTATAGTTCAGAGTGTTTGAAAGAAAAAGAACCAGAACTGAAATCCGTGAATTTAAACTCAGCTTCAAACGCTAACGCTACATCAGATGTTAAGTTAGAGTATCCACCACTGGACCAAATTCTTTCAAGAGAAGCCAACGACAACCCTTACACAAATGTTCAAACAAATCCTTCAGATAACGTAGACCATTACCTTCTTCAGTTATACCAAACAATTTTACTCAAAGACGATAAGAAGCTTTTGACAAATCTTATAAGCAAGAACCAAATAATTCTAACAAAGGAGGACCTTGAAAATGTTATATCACGAATAACAGGAAAGCAATGTGTCATTGACTATCTCGACCCTGAAATCGAATGCTGTGGTCAAACGCCACCATTCATGAAAATAGGTAACATCCGCATCATTGAAATACCAGGAACTACAGAGTTAGTTTAAGTATAAATATTCGAACGAGTATACAACTTTCAACAGAATATAAATTATGTTTGAAATATGTTTTAGTAAATTAAAGCAATTTGTAATATCTATCCAAAACTTCTTCAACAGTATCGAACTCATCTTCATAATGCAAACCTAATCTTATTGACTTGGTGCAGTTTTCACTAACACAATATAGCGCTTTGCGCTCGGCGCCTTTGACGCCTTTTTCTGTTCTCTTGACTGACATAACTAATTCATTTGTTTCATCAAACAGCAATAACCAAAGTTCATGACCTAATACATAACATTCATACTTATATTTTTAGCTCTGAGTTCTCTTGTAAGCTGTTGCATTTAATATTTTCTAAAAAGTCAACTTCAACAGTCATTCGCACTGGTGCCTTCAGTTCTACAGGCTCTCCTTGAAAGTCAACAAGTCTGAATTGCATGTCTTTCAAATTATGAGGACTAATGCGAACCCATTTACCTAAATGAGTTACTATGACAGGAACGTTTGGAATGAACATTGAATTGACTGCATAACAGAAGGATTTATATTCTACTGAACCTTTACTATTAACTCCTGAAATGCCTGTGACATTAGCTATTTTTGACTCAACGTATAAACAATTACCATAACATACGTATGGAACAGATTTCATCTCAATCGTTTTGTCAATACTTTTCAAAGGAAATGTCATATGGTATGCTCCCAGAAGCAATTGAACTCTATGACTCATTCGTGTTATCTTAAACTCCTTCGCATAACTGAACTTCAAAACTCCTGCAATAAGTTTAACATTCATTAAGTTTTCTTCGTTCTCCTTGTTTATTGTAGTATTTATGAGCGCATTTAACACTCCAGCTAATGTTTCCATCTTATATTCTACATTATTGTGAAATCTTATTTCATGCTTCTTTCCATCTATTTCAAGCTCCATGAAATCTGTTTCATCTGTTATAACGAATGAAGCGATAGTATTGAAGTCAACAACTCTGAATGCAAGTGGCTCATTCTGTAGACCTAAGTTTGTTTGTAGCTTTACTGTCCCGTATTCGTTTGGGTCTGTACTTTGCAAATAGAACAACATTTTATTCTCATTAAAATATGAGTATTGCTGCATATGCGTATGAAGCTGACAGAGCTAAACGTTTATATTTTGGTCAATACTCTCTCACACTTACTGACAAATATATTGTTATTTCTGATGGAAATACCGAGAAATACATAACATGGAAGGACTATGAAAAGTTTGACCCTATTTAACTCCATGTACAATGCCATTCATTGTAAATGGTGAAGTTGTCATGAAGAACGACACAACAGTATATAAGTCTGTTCATGAAGCGTTAGAATATATGTTGAATTATAATCCCGAAAGATTTGACCCAAGCACTACGTCATGTACAATGCCTTTTATTAAGGATGGTGAAATCGTAAGAGTTCCGGATTCAACGGTTTACACAGCTGTTCAAAACAGTTTACAAAACATTTTAGCGAATATCTTTAATTCAGAAACTACAGAAATAAAATTACCATATATAACAGATGCTAAAGAAATTAAATCAAAACGACAACATTATTTACGTCACTTAATGATTTAATGACTTATATCATTAATATTCCTGCACCAACTACAGCATTTGATCCAAACTCGACGGTTTGCAGTGTACCTTTCATAAAGGACAGTTCATTAATTGTTTTAAGGGATTCAACAGTTAATGAATCATTAAAGGCGTCATTAATGAAAATCATTGATTTTAACTCATTCACGAATACATATAATTCATTCATTAATGTTTCATATGCTTCTAAAGAAGGTGAGCCAAAAACTATCGATAAAGCGGTGTATGAAATAAAAGCATCAACGACGAAATTGAATTCGTTAACTTTTGACGGTGATAGTTTCGTTAATGACATAACATCGGGGAAAACAATTTTAACGAAAGAATATTTAAAATCTCATGTTAGTGAGTTCGTTGAAATTGAAAAAGAAGGTGGAATTAAGTTCGATCCACTGAATTTCATTTTCAGCTTAGCGAATGCGGGTGTTAGTTTCGCTGAATGGACAACTATACAGAGTGAAATAAATGCAATATGGACGTTTTTGGGGTCAAAAGCGGGAATGGGTGAGCTTGTAAATGCTGCAAGAACATTAGGTGAAACAGGAAATTTTTGTAGATGGTTTTAAAAGACTTGTTTCAAATGTTTTAACAAACACAAAGAAATTATTTAGATATACCATACATAACGGACGGATTTTCGAACAGGTAGCAACAAACCCTCCGGTTATGGCTGCGTTGATGATGGTTAGAGATATAAAACCACGTAACGACGGGAACGAAGAACATGAACAACAGAGCCCAACGGGCTCAGAGCCACATAGTGGCGAGGATACTGGTCGGGTTATTCAAGACATTAAAAACGTGTATCCTGAAGTTATTGATTTATTTAGAGGAGTTAATGATTCAATTTCAAAACATTCTATAACCCTCGATGAAGAGAATAAATTAACAGATTATATATTCGTCATTATTGCAGAATTAATGAAGAGAATAAATGAAAAAGGAATTGGTGATATCATTAATGTCAGCGATGTAATGATGAAAAGAAATTTTGACTCATTATTTACAAACCGAAAACAGAATATAGTCTTTATGACGTAATTACCGAATTAATGAAAAAGATTAATGATAATAAGAGTTCTAGCGGAAGAGTTGAATTAGAAGTGAATGATGTTAATGAGAAATTAGCCGAAAAAGCAGATAAAAACCATGTTCATTATATAACTTCAGACGAACAGATTATAACGGACTACCATGGATATTTAAACGAAGTGATGAAGTGAAGACAAAAAATGTTAATGAAAGAAGATATAAATACATTCGTGCTAAAGGTTATGACATAAGCTGTACTGTACAGTATGATGTAGCTAAAGCACCAGAAGCATTTGGTTATAACGATGAAATTTATGCCTCTACTTTCAATGTTAATGGTGTATTAGTTGAACCAAGATTTACTTTGAGAGTTAAGTCAAAAATAACGTTTGAAGATGCTATTAAAAGTAAAGCTGACAAAGTTGAACTTGACGCAACGAACAAAGTTTTGAAATCTCATAAACACAACATCTCCGATATAAATGAACTTCAAACTTCTTTAGACAGTAAAGCAGACAAGAACCATACACATAAATCCTTCACTACTGTTAGAGCAGACGACATAATATTGAACTTTGACCTTGGTTCAAGTGCACCATTAGTAAATCCAAGTACAAGCGTAAAAGATACACTAAACTCCTTAAATAACAAATGTATGAATATCGAAGGTCATGTCAGAAACTTTGAAGCACATGAACTACCAGCAATGTTAGACAGTAAAGCCGACAAAACTTATGTGGATACAGAACTAACAAAGAAATTTTCGAAACCAGATACAATGACATTTACAACAGAAATTATAAATGGTGAACCAGCAACTCCATTTGAATTTGTTAGAGGTCTTCAACCAGATACTTTTGAATTTTTCTTGGATAATTCTATTGAACTAACATTACATTATAAAAGTGGAACAAATGCAACATTTCATCCGGGAGATACATTCCAAATGGTATTTAATGACATAAGTTCTTTAGAATATGTTTATAGAGTTATGAGCATATATGATTTAATATATCCTATAGGAGCTGTTTATACGTCTATGAATCCAATAAATCCAAACACTTTATTTGGTGGTAGATGGTATGAAATAGTTGACAGTTTTCCATTCTACACTAATACGCAGTCAATGAAGATGGGAGGTTCAAAGAAAATAGGTATTGAAAACCTTCCTTCACATATGCATAGGTTCAGTGGAAGAACATCTGTGGAAGGAAACCATTCACATTCAATAACAAAAAGAGGTTATACAAATCTTGCAGCGGGTTCGGATAGACAGGGAATGAACAGATATGATATCACAACTGACCCCAAAGATGTTAGCACAGGTATTTTCTGTGGAACTGCAGGAAATCATACACATGTTGTAGCTGGTATTACAGACCCAGCAGGTAATGGAAAAGATTATATGCCTCCTTATATAACAATGCACGCTTGGATACGAGTTGGTTAAAATCTTTATTTTTACATAAATGAGCTTGAAAGAAGTATTCGAACAACATCCATGGAGGTCATTTAAGAAGTTCAATGAAGCTGCAAAGAGTTCGGGATTTACTAACAGAGCTGAAGTGAAAAGGTTCTTTGACAAAATTTGTACATCAAACAAAAATAATCCTTACGACTACTTTTTACCAATTTACTCCAACACTCCTGACGCATACCAATTTGACACTCTCATTCAAAGCAGAAAAGGAGGTCATAAACCATTCCTCATCTTCATAAATGTTAACACTCGTAAAGCATATGCATATATAATGAAAAATAAAGGAACTCATGAAGTGTTAAGAGTTTTACAAAAGTTTGTAGCAGAACATAACCCAAGTATTTTAACATCAGACCAAGACAGTGCATACCTCAGCAATGAAATCACAGAATTTCTCATTAAGCATAACATAACTCACTACACTACTGAAGACCATAACCATAACATACTCGGTATCATTAACCGCTTCATAAGGACTCTCAGAGATTTAAACCAAGAGCGAGACTTTACCGAAGAAACAATGAAACATTTTCTCGAAGTATATAATTCCTCAACACATTCTACAACAGGACATACACCAAATTCAATGACACAACAACAAGAAGAAAAGTATATACAAAAGAAACGAAGCCAAACACAAAATATCAGAAATTCAAAACAATTTACCCTCATTCCTGGTACAAAAGTTCGTGTAGTTCTTGACGACAAACCATTGACAAAGAAACGTTTAAGGTTAAGTCGAAATTATTATATCGTAGACTCTACGCAAGGTAATGGATATCTTATAAAAGCTGCTGACGACTCCATAGCATTTTACCCTCGACATAAATTAGTCGAAAGTAGTAATGGCAAACTTGCTGAAACCATTGACGAAGCAAAGCGAGGAGTGGTTATTGAAATACTTGACTACAACATAAACGATGACACTTATAAAGTAAGATATGAAGGAGGCGTTGAAGATGTTATACCATCTAAGAACTTGAGAGAATCTAAACCAACTCATCTGGGACCATTAGAGCGGGAGTACTGGAAAGATAAAAACATGCCAGAAAGAATAAGAAAATTCTTCTAAACTTTTTCGTTGGATGTAAATCAGACATGAATAAGAACAGTCATGTATTATTAATGGTACCATTTATTTTGTCATAAATTTACACCAAAAATATATTTTAGGTGAAGAGACCCAAAGGGTCAGAGCCGCAAAGCGGCTAGGTGAGATGTCACCTCTTTTTTCACCTCTTTTTTCACCTCTTGAATTTTCGTGAATTTTCACAAAAGACCAAAAATAAAGTTAGTTTTATTTTTATTTATTTTTTTTATTTTGTATGTAAGAACAGAAATGTCAATCGAAGCAAAAACATTCACGAACAAATCTAATGGTGAAACATTCACAAAAGGCACTTATAACGGTATTGAAGTCTTACGTAGAGACAAGGATGGTTACATTAATGCAACAAAGATGGCAAGAGAAGCGAGAAGGTTAAACCATTTAAACAGATTTCTCAATAGTGCTAAAATGCAGGAAATTCTTGAGTTTTGGTTGAAAGAATACGGTCGAGCCAAAAGTGGCTCAACCTCAAAACAAGCATTTTATGAGCTTACTAAGGGCGTTATGAATGAATTCAAAGGTATTTACATACATGCTGACCTCGTTCATTTTGTTGCTGAATGGTGCTCTGTAAAGTATGCATTTTATGTCAAAGATATTATGGACTCCATAGACAAGAAAGTTCATGAGAAGTTAGATGAAGAAGAACTCGAAGATACAGTGGAGAATGCTAAACCTTTGTTCGAAGAAGAAGTTGGAAAAATGTGTGAAAAACAATTAGAACATGAACGTGAGATATATTATGGTTATAGAGATTCTCCATACGAACTAGACCAATGGGAACAAGAAGATTTAAAGAGAGAATTTAGAGAATATGAACTCGCTAAGATAGCATTTGAAGCTGCAGAAAAGAAGTTAAAAGTTTGGGGTCGTTTTGTACAAAAATATTGTGAGTAAATGAACTCATGGGCTTCGCCCTTGCCGCTAGCGGCTTATTTTTATTGAATTCAGTAAAAATAATGTTTAGGTGAAGAGACCCAAAGGGTCAGAGCCGCAAAGCGGCTAGGTGAGATGTCACCTCTTTTTTCACCTGTTTTCTCACCCTCGTGACTTTGTCATAACTTCTTCGTAAATGCTTTGTCATAACTTCTTCGTAAATGAGTGTAAATGACCAAAAATATATTATAGGTGAAGAGACCCAAAGGGTCTTGAATTTTCATGAATTTCCTTAAGATAGAAAAATAACGTTAGTTTTATTTTTATTTATTTTTTTATTTTGTATGTAAAGATATGATTTCAACAATCGGCACAACAACAATTCAAGCCGCGAACGGCGGGACTCTGTCCACAACAACTTCACCAAACTCGTTAGTCATGAATCCTACGTCAATGTTGGTAGAAATGAAAAGCTTCATTCCTTCTTCATTTACTTTCGAAACAGAAATCCAGAAGATAAAGCAAGAACTTTTAACAAGTAATTTAGACTGTAGTGCGAAAGATGAAACAAATGAACAGTATCTTTATGAAATGCAGGACATTATTGACCATTTACCCAAATTGCCTGAAATCCAACAACAAAAACTAACCATTCCCGAATTTGACGAAATAGAAGTCAAAGCAACTGACTCAGTAGAAATAAAGAAGTTCATACGAAAGGTAAATTATGAATTCCTTGGTTTTCATTGCAACCATAAGGTTATGGACAAAGATTGCGACATGGTATATAAGAATATTTCTGACATATATAAATCTGAAGAATTTAAGACCTACGACAACTTTGTTTCGTTAGTTGCAGAATGTGTATGGCAGATAAGAGATAAAGATAGAAGAGGTAAGGTATGGAATGAACAAATAAGACCCGCTATGTTTGAGTTAAAGAAAACCATTGACGCCTTGGTTGTTTTAGCAGGTAAGGTTTCAGAATATAACGCAAAAATGAACCCGCAATGTTCTAAATGTAAAGCAGCAATGAGGAAATATAACTACTCCGTCAAAGAGATAGAAAGAATGCGAAACGACTATGCAGACTTAAAGAAAGAAGCAGAAAAGCCAGCAGAAGATAAAATGAACATGTTAGAATTTCTTAATAAAAATTATCCAACAGCAGAAGATTTCCTTCTATCTGACGTCAAGAAGAAGTATAAAGAAACTTTCGGCATTGTTAAAACATTCGATGTACTGACAGAAGAAATAGAAGCTACGAAATTGTTTAGAATTTCAAATATACATCGTACAATTCATGTGAAACGCTTGTGAAAAAAGAGGTGAGAAAACAGGTGAGAAAAGAGGTGACATCTCACCTAGCCGCTTTGCGGCTCTGACCCTTTGGGTCTCTTCACCTAAACATTATTTTTGGTCATTTACACTCATTTACGAAGAAGTTATGACAAAGCATTTACGATGAAATCTTGACAAGGCATTTACGAAGAAGTTATGACAAAGCATTTACGAAGAAGTTATGACAAAAGCATTTACGATGAAATCATGACAAAGCATTTACGAAGAAGTTATGACAAAGTCACGAGGGTGAAAAAAGAGGTGAGAAAACAGGTGACATCTCACCTAGCCGCTTTGCGGCTCTGACCCTTTGGGTCTCTTCACCTAAATTATGGGCTTCGCCCTTGCCGCTAGCGGCTTATTTTTGGTCAAAGCTTCCACGAGAGAAAAGATTCCTCATTCGCTAAGGATTCCAAAAATGAAAAAATCATTGATTTCGGCTGAGAAAAAACAGCAAAACCCTTCTTCCACGGGAACAAAGAAATAAAGAAGAAATAAAGTAAATTTTTTATTTATTCCCGTGGAAGATAGAGCACTTTTATGATACTTTTTATTCACGACAAACAAGACAAATAAAGAAAATAAGAAAATACGGCGCTGTCGCGGTTCGAACCACAGACCTTGACCCCTCCATAACACCACCTTAGACCACTGTGCTACGTAGCCTGTCGACATAAGATTTTATAAATTGCATATTTGACGTAAATTTATTTCCATCTGGCTTCCCACTGCATAAGATATTCATACGTGTTTGAAGTAGATGAGATAGATAAAGCTATAAAATTATTTGACGAAGTTGCTGAAAAATACATGTAAAGCGTTTATTTTTGGTCTTTTGTGAAAGTCAGGAAATAACGCTAATTTTATTTTTATTTATTTTTTTATCCTGTATGTAAGAACAGAAATGTCAACATCAGAGAACACAACAACTGCTATCGTTCATGAAGCCATAAATGAAGAATACGAGTACATACAATATAACAAACAGTTACGTCTCATTCGTTCAGTCAAAGATGACATGTACCAAATGCAAAGTATAATGAATGCTCTTCGTTCTACAAAGCAAGCATATCATTGGTTTGAAAACCAACAGGCAAAAGAACTTTTAGAAGAATTTCCTCATATGATTGCTTCCCTCGGAAAACCGAGGGAAGAGATTCCGTACGAAAATCGCAAGAATTTGGCACCTGGTTTGAAAGGTTATTATGTTCATAGACTTTTAGTAAATGCTGTAGCAATGTGGGCTTCACCTCGTTATGCTTGTTATATTTTCATGATGTTAGATGAACTATATAAAGCAGAACGCGAACAGATGGAAAAGAAACTTCAAGCAAAAGATGAAGTCATTGAATCCAAAGACAAAAGCATACAGAAAAGAATACCACGTTCAGTACCAAAAGGAAAGGAAAAGAGTTATAAGTATATGATTTACGCTGAAGAGATGGAAAATGAAGAAGACAGAGATATGGTTATGTTGCATTTAGTCAGAAGAAACAACAAAAGCTTTTACGACCTTGCTAAGATTTACAAATCTGACAGAAACTGGTTCTATCGTGAAAACTTACCGATTTCAATGACACCGAATGAGCAAATAAAGGAAATTGTCAAAAATACTCTTCCTCAAACACACTATGACATCAAAGGTTGCACAATACTTACCTTCAAAGAAGACTTAACATTGTTAAAGGAAAAAATAACAGAATATTTCGATAACTTCAAAGAGGAAGAATGAAGTCACGACAACATTAACGAAGAGAGAATGAGGTGAGAAAACAGACCCAAAGGGTCAGAGCCGCAAAGCGGCTAGGTGATATCTCACCTCTTCACCAAAAATATATTTTTGCTTAAATAGCTTCAGGGTCAATTTCTTCAACCATTTCACTTTCTTCGTCAATGTCAATTGAAGCTTCTTCAACCTTTGGTAAGAACTTTTGTATAACATCTTTGTTCGTTATTGTCTTCAGAGATGAAGGATAATATTTCACAGATGTTTCACCCTTCTTATATTCTTTCTGTTCGGAAAGATTCATAGCAATACTGAAGAAGTCAACGTTAGAGTTCTTTATGACAGTATAGTGTGTATCTTTGACATTCACGAAGAAACCCTTTTGTTTCAAAACTACTGCTAACTCTTGTGAAGTATAACGTTTGCGGTCAATGACGATAGCTAATGGTCTGACATACTGACCAAACTTAGATTCTTTCACAAACTTCTTGTTAAAGATAACATTAACGTTTGAAGCATTATTGAACTCATTCTTGATGGCATTAGCGAGAGCATTGTATGAAAAGAACTTGCAATCTTGCATGTGTTTCATTAAAATAAAAATATTAAATTATTTTGAAAAATAACTTAAAAAAAATCTAATCTAATTTTTTCAAAAAATATTTTTTTATTTCCTACTAAAGATGTATCGGAAGTTGTCTAAGTTAGAACACTCGGAAATAAAACAACTTCTTACAGAAGCTAATATAGATGTTGCAAAGCATTACGCAACAAACAAAAAAGCACTCGCTGACTTCATTAAAGACTACAATGGTGCAATAAGTTATGATAGAATTCATGAGTTCATAAAGCCGCAACGCGGCGAGGACGAAGTCCATGCAAGAGCATTTCCTTTAAATGACATTGCTATTGACTTATATCATAGACGTTCAATACCACATGAAGTAAGAAGAGAAATGTTTGACATAACAAATGCAAACGTTGGTGAAACAAGAAGAAGAGACGACACACTGAAACAACAGAGAAGAGAGATGTTTAAAAGTGCTATAGAACAAGTTCGCAAAGCTAACGATGTCATTCGTTCCATTGACGACAAACCAAAAGAAGGTGAGAGATGGTTAAAGAAAGATGAAGAGAATAGGAAGAGAAATGTGAAGTCAGGCAATAGACTCATTGACTTTAACATCGAAGCTTTAGATGAACCAAACAGAGACTATTTACACAAACATTTTGGTAAGGTTTTCATGAGACTCTTAGAGAAATTAAAATAAACTCCCAACAGAGATGGATGGTATGTTATAAACTTGGTGGAAAGTATGAATGTTCTACGTTAAACCTCAATAATATTGGAACATTACTAATCAGCTCTTGAAGGAGAACTTTATATCAGAGATAGAAGCAAATGCTGCAGGTATTGTTGAAATGCACTATGACTTCTTCTTGACAAACATAAAGAATCTTACTGAAATAAAGATGTATGATTTAACAGAATATGAAGGCTTAACGATGTCAGATGTAAAGAAAGGCAAACCAAAAAAGAGACCATATAGAGATGAAAGCACACTGACAAATGACCAGAAAGCCATTTTGGAAGCTCTTAAGCAAACAGGAAACCCAGCACTTATAGAAAGCTTTTGGAAAGATAATGGTGAAAAGAAGTTTTATAAGAAGAGAAGCGGTCAGTTCTGGAAGTATCTTTGCACATTACCTATAAATCTTGAACGCTACCAAATCTTCAATGAACTGAACAAAAGAACTGCAACACTTATGACAGAGGACAATTGTTTCGTTTATGCTTGCATTCAGGCTGGAGTAAATGAAGAAACTATTGACCACATGAGAGAAGTCATTCGTGTTAGAGACTTTCCTCAAAGTAAAGTACAAGAAATTTCCGATTCAACAGGTATAGCATTTAATGTTACCATTGGTTATTTAATGACTCAAGACATAATGAAATAAAGAGATATATACCAAAAGAATGCGAAACTGTTAGAACTATTGACTTACTTCTTGTTGAAGACCACTACATGCTAAATGAAAGATTACCAATGACAACATACTTCATTCGAAACTATATAGAAATCTTGAAGGAGTGTGGTGGAATGAACATTGAGAAACAGATGAAGATTTATACAAAGAGAGAAGAAAATATGTAGTTCGTTATGATAGAACAACACCGCTATGGGATGTTATGAAAACATTGTGGGAGTGCAAATATTTCGAACCTATTTCTTATGGAGAACTTTTCACATATACGACTGACTTATATAAACAGAACCTTGCACCATTTAAAGATTTGACATATGCTCCAAAGTATTGTGTACAACTGAAGAAGAAAGCAGAGTCAAAAGAAGTAAATAAAGCTAAATGTAAATTCATTCCTGAGCACGTTTTCTTTGCTGACTTTGAGTGTAGTACGGATGGCTTTCATAAAGCTTTTAACATCTGTTATGACAGTGAAGATGGTTCAGTGAGTGAAAGCATTTGGGGTCAAAACTGTGCAACAGAATTTTTTGGAAAGACTTCCTGACAAGAGTTTAATATATTTTCACAACCTCAGTTATGACATAAACTTCATCTTAAGACACATGACAGAAGTGAAAGGAACTCCCATCATTAAAGGTTCACGAACAATGCAAATAACTGGTTTATATAAAGGACGGGCAATTATTATAAAAGACTCTTACAGTGTTATAAATAAGAAGCTTAAACTATTTCCTGCTATGTTTAACTTACAAACAGGACCGAAAGAAGTATTTCCATATAACTACTACAGCAGTGTTTTGTTAGCAAATGACAACAGAACTGGTGTCATTTCTGAAGCATGTAAGTTTATCCATGATGCAGATACATTTATGAAACAAATAGATTCCATCAAAGGTTGCAGAATAGATGAAAACCACTTCGACTTAGAAAAATATAGCACGTTTTACTGCAAACAAGATGTAAGAATTTTAAGAGAAGGTTTTGTAAAGTTCCGCAATGACTTATTGAAAGAGTTTGATTTAAACGTTTATGACTACGTTAGTATTTGTTCTATTGCTAACAAATTGTTTGAGAACAGAGTATACTTCCCGAATGGAAATCTTTATGACCTCTCAAATAAACCAAGAGAATTTATTTCGAGATGCATTCAAGGTGGAAGATGTATGTTGTCAGATAACATGAAACAAAAGAGCAAAAAGAAACTCATTGCTGACTTCGACACTGTTTCATTATATCCTTCAGCTATAGCAAGACTTTATACTTTAGA